GAATGATGAGGGCAAAGAATATACAAATGTGCTTTATACAATTGATGTATGTATGGATTGTGATAAGAGTTGTGTGAGCCCCTAGTAAAACCATTAAGAAAACAAAACAAAACAAAACTCACTGCCATTGAGGCAATGCCAACTCCTAGTGACCCTATAGGACAGGACAGAACTGCCTCTCTGAGTTTCTGAGACTGTAGCTGTTTATGGGAGTAGAAAGCCCCATCATTTCCCTGAGTTGGGGCTGGTGGTACGAACTGCTGACCCTTAGGATTGCAGCCCAAGGCATAACTACTCTGCCACCAGAGCTCCCTGGGCTTCATTCAAGAGGTGCTTAGTAAATGTGTGGGACTCCTCACTTACCCATGATCTCGTTATCCGACAGTTCACATTTACTATTGCGAAAAATCCACTATCCAACTATTTTGCACATTAACCACTATCAGCTAATGGTTGCTATGCTGGCTGGCTGTGATGATGAAGAGGATTACTTGACAACTTGGCTGGGTTGGCAGTTGTGTAGTCATCCTTCATTTTGTGATCTGATTGGTCCCCCTCCTTTTTAGAATAACACGGAGTTTCTCGAAATGTCTTGCCCTTTGGAACCTAACCATAGCCATAAACGAGGAGTGGGTGAATTCTCGAACAGAGGGTAAAGTGGTCCTCTGGTCAGCCCCAGATTCTGGAAGATTTGAGCCTGGCCAGATGGCTGGGGGGTATTGGTATTCCCCTCTGGGTCAGGGCACCCGTTTCTGAGGTCAGTCTCCAGTGACCTTGACCTTCCGGAGTGACTTCACCTTTCTCAGTGGTGTGTTCTCTGGGGACGTGGGTCACAGCCTGAGGATTTGCTGAAGGAAGGGTTTGCTGATCCAAGAGAAGAGCTTGGTGGCAGAGGTGTTCAGAGGGCCACTGTGCCCTGTCAGGGGTATGACCTCAGGAAAGACAGAGCTGGAGCTAGAAGACAAGAGTGGTCTGTACCATGCTGGCAGCACATTGGGAGAGACCTCGCAGTGTAGTGCTTATACATTGGGATGCCAACTGCAAGGCCAGCAGTTTCAGATCACCAGTTGCTCCTTGGGCGAAAGATGAGGCTTTCTACTCCAATAAAGGGTTACAGTTCTAGCCTACCCTACAGGGCGCTATGAGTCAGAAATGATGGGATGGTAGTGAGTTTCCGTTGCCTGAGAAGGGTCTGCATCGTCACTGTTCCCCAGGTGGGCCCTCCTCTGCTAAATGTCATCAGTTCTCACTTAGCCATCCACATGCTCACTGGTTCCTTTGTGGGTTTGTTTGCTTATACACTCATTTAGTAGGCAGATGTCTTAGCATCTGTATTAGTCTAGGTCCTTTGGAGAAACAAATCCACAGCAACTCACGTATAAGAGAGTTTTATGCAAAGAAAATGTGCATCACGAAAACATCCCGACCCAATGCTGCCCAAGCCCACAAGTCCAACATTAACCCATACCCAACA